GGGGCAGCCATCTCAGCAAAACCTGGGATCCAGAGGCGGCAGTAGACGGCTGTACCTAGGAACTCCCTCACCTGGCGGGGGTTCTGTCCAGATGCCAGCTGAACCTTTTTTGCTTTCGTGAGCCATCTCTGTCCTCCCTCTTTACAGTAAGCACACTGGTCTTTGTCAAGCGGTGTCCTTCTTTGATCTCCCGTCCTAACTCCATCTCTGACCTGTACCTGAGACACTACAGTGGCCAGGACTTTACTTATTTCTCTATGACGTTTCTTATCTCTCTCTTTTTTCCCTCAGATCCAACACCTCTTCTTCTTTCTCGTTTCAGGATCTTTCCTGCCTGTTTCCCTCTCCCTCTGTGTCTCTGTTTCTCGCCCTCCCTTCCTTCTGCTCGCTCTCCGCTCTCCTTAAACACCTTCTCTTCTCTCTTATTAAACACTTTCTCTGCCTCTCTAAGTCTTTCCAAGAACGCTGCCGGCGTCTCTTCCTTTAGCTCTGGATCATATTCCTAACCTGAGCCGAATTGGTAGGGGGTCTAGCGGCCCCTGGGAGACCCGCTAAGAGCAACTGGCGATAGAGACGTAGGCGCTCCCTACCTTCTGGGGTCACCGAGTCCCAGTTCAGGCGGGTGAGGGGAAAGGCTGCATTAGGCAATTGGGTGGGTCTTCCATTGTCTCCTGGAACCTCCGAGCCTCCAGGAAGACTCGCTGTCTTTGGCTGGTTCATCGCGCCTTCCTCGTAGGCGACCGGCAATTGGGGAGGGAGCCGGAGCCCCATCCTCCCACTCTCTCTCTGTAGAGGCTGTTCAGGTGCCTCTGTGGGGGCCGCCGGTCCCTCCAGCGCCCGATTCCCCGGGTATGGCGGCGGGTCCTCTGTTAGGGGGGTCAATAAGAGGTGAATTGGGGTCTGGGGGGAGGACGGAGCCTTAGGGGGATCCTTCCGTGGGAGAACAGGGTAAAGGGAGGAGGTAGGAGGGGTGAGAGGGAGCGGTGGTGCTGTCGGGGGGCTGTAACACTTGGGGCAGGGTGACTCGGCGTCCACGGGTGACGCCGCCCCCGAGCCACCTTCCCCAAACTGGGCCTTCCCAGCCGTCCC